GCAAATTCATCTTCTCTTCCTGAAAGACGTTAAAGTAAGTCTCCAGTGAACTGGGAGAAGAGCAGAGTAAACTTTATAGTTACCTACACAGTGTGTATATTATATATGCATATATATTTACATGCCTGGAACCCTGCTTGAGCCCATCATCTCTGCTTACAGCTATATTTTTGGTTTTGATGCTTTAAATGTTTTGATGTCTATTGATTTATGACATTAAACTGGGGTTAACATATATGTGTCTTTTTTTTGTTGCTTCAGACCTGGTGGCACTGAATGAAACAGAAGAGAAAGATCTGCATGAGAAACATCACGACTTCACAACTGGAGAAAAATCTTTCAGTTGCTCAGAGACGGAAAAGACTTGCTCTCCAAAAAGAGCTGGGAAGACTGGAACTAGGAAATGTTTCACCTGCCAACAGTGTGGAAAGAGTTTAAACAAAAAAGAAAACCTTAAAGTCCATATGAGAGTTCACACTGGAGAGAAGCCTTACATGTGCCATCAGTGTGGAAAGAGCTTCCCACGAAACGCCAGTCTAAAGATTCACATGAGAACTCACACCGGAGAGAAGCCTCATACCTGCCCTCTCTGTGGAATGGGCTTCACGTATAAAGGAACGCTTTACATCCACATGAGAGTTCACACTGGAGAGAAGCCATTTCAATGTGGTCAGTGTGGGAAGCGTTTCCCACATAAAGCAACCTTTGATATTCACACGAGAATTCACACCGGAGAGAAGCCATACACCTGCCAACTCTGTGGAAAAACTGTGAATCGGAAAGGAAGTCTCGTAGCTCACATGAGAGTTCACACCGGAGAGAAGCCGTACACCTGCCAACTGTGTGGAAAAACTATGACTCAGAAAGGAAATCTTATAGCTCACATGAGAGTTCACACCGGAGAGAAGCCTTACACCTGTAATCAGTGTGAAAAAGGGTTTGCACGTAAAGAATTCCTTCGTAAGCACATGGAGATTCACTCAAGAGAGAGCTGCTTTATATGCCATCAGTGTGGAAGGAGATTCACAGACGGGGAACAGTTAAAGAAGCACGTAGTAACTCATATCGGAGAGGAGCCTTTTATGTGTCATCACTGTGGAAAGAGTTGCTCAAGAAAAGCAAACCTCGAGACTCACATGAGAATTCACACTGGAGAGAAACCCTTTACATGCCAACAGTGTGGAAAGCGTTTCAGACAGAGAACAGCTCTTCAGAGTCACATGAGAGTTCACACCACAGAGAGGCCTTCTCGCGCATCTTCAGTGCGAGTTTCACATATCAAATAGATCTGAAGAGTTATTTACAATCTCATTCTGGCAAGAAATTGGCGTGTTCTGAGTGTGGTAAGAGGTTTAGAAAAAGGGTCGCCTGTGCACTTTGAAAAGCCTGTAATAGCATTAAATTCACTTTCAACAACTTTGTTCATAAATGGTTGGGGAAAGTCTTTTTGAAGCACAAACAGAGGAGATGCTTGTGTAGTGAATTTGCTTTCGCCAACCTAGGGAGGCGAAATAGTGTAGTGATGGGTACTCGCGTCACCAATGACGTTATATTTGGATCATCAATGGTTATGAGTACATAACAGAAGAACTAAGGGTGGCATCTCTAACTTGTTGATGATACAGAAATAGGTTCTACAAGGAAGACCCAAGTGTAATAAAATAGATTTTATTAACAAAAGATAGACAAGAGTAACCAACAACTGCTAAATGAATGCCATGAATGAAAAAGGAATAAAGTGCTTAAGATGCATAAAGTGCAAGTGATTAAGTTGGGTGTTGCTATTTCAGAGCTACGTTATCTGGAAAGATAAACGGATGCTACTCTGAAACAAATAAGGTGAAGAACTTTATTATGCATCAAACAAATATGTGAAAGATTATTTGTTATCAACTGCAATCAGTTTTATATGCCAAGGTCTCTGGAAGAGGTTTGGATAAGTGATAGTTACGTTCTCTGCGATCGAGTGAGCAGTCCGGTGGCGGCGACTTCGTCCACTGGTTGTGCTGGTGACAGTGCAGTGGGGAAAGGAGCAGGAATCTGATTCAACAGTCTTGAACACAAAGATCTGTGGGATGCTGATCTCCTGGAGCACCACAGGGTCTCTGGATCACGCATGTTCATGGTTAAAGGGATAGTTCACCCAAAAATGAAAATTCTGTCATTAATTACTCAGCCTCATGTCATTTCAAACCCATAAGACCTTCGTTCATCTTCGGAACACAAATTAAGATATTTTTGATGAAATACGAGAGCTTTCTGACCCTCCATAGACAGCAAGGGTCCTTCCACGATCAAGGCACAGAAACATAGCAAGGACATCGATAAAATAGTCCATGTGACATCAGTGGTTCAACCATAATTTTATGAAGCTACAGACGGGGAACAGTTAAAGAAGCACGTAGTAACTCATATCGGAGAGGAGCCTTTTATGTGTCATCACTGTGGAAAGAGTTGCTCAAGAAAAGCAAACCTCGAGACTCACATGAGAATTCACACTGGAGAGAAACCCTTTACATGCCAACAGTGTGGAAAGCGTTTCAGACAGAGAACAGCTCTTCAGAGTCACATGAGAGTTCACACCACAGAGAGGCCTTCTCGCGCATCTTCAGTGCGAGTTTCACATATCAAATAGATCTGAAGAGTTATTTACAATCTCATTCTGGCAAGAAATTGGCGTGTTCTGAGTGTGGTAAGAGGTTTAGAAAAAGGGTCGCCTGTGCACTTTGAAAAGCCTGTAATAGCATTAAATTCACTTTCAACAACTTTGTTCATAAATGGTTGGGGAAAGTCTTTTTGAAGCACAAACAGAGGAGATGCTTGTGTAGTGAATTTGCTTTCGCCAACCTAGGGAGGCGAAATAGTGTAGTGATGGGTACTCGCGTCACCAATGACGTTATATTTGGATCATCAATGGTTATGAGTACATAACAGAAGAACTAAGGGTGGCATCTCTAACTTGTTGATGATACAGAAATAGGTTCTACAAGGAAGACCCAAGTGTAATAAAATAGATTTTATTAACAAAAGATAGACAAGAGTAACCAACAACTGCTAAATGAATGCCATGAATGAAAAAGGAATAAAGTGCTTAAGATGCATAAAGTGCAAGTGATTAAGTTGGGTGTTGCTATTTCAGAGCTACGTTATCTGGAAAGATAAACGGATGCTACTCTGAAACAAATAAGGTGAAGAACTTTATTATGCATCAAACAAATATGTGAAAGATTATTTGTTATCAACTGCAATCAGTTTTATATGCCAAGGTCTCTGGAAGAGGTTTGGATAAGTGATAGTTACGTTCTCTGCGATCGAGTGAGCAGTCCGGTGGCGGCGACTTCGTCCACTGGTTGTGCTGGTGACAGTGCAGTGGGGAAAGGAGCAGGAATCTGATTCAACAGTCTTGAACACAAAGATCTGTGGGATGCTGATCTCCTGGAGCACCACAGGGTCTCTGGATCACGCATGTTCATGGTTAAAGGGATAGTTCACCCAAAAATGAAAATTCTGTCATTAATTACTCAGCCTCATGTCATTTCAAACCCATAAGACCTTCGTTCATCTTCGGAACACAAATTAAGATATTTTTGATGAAATACGAGAGCTTTCTGACCCTCCATAGACAGCAAGGGTCCTTCCACGATCAAGGCACAGAAACATAGCAAGGACATCGATAAAATAGTCCATGTGACATCAGTGGTTCAACCATAATTTTATGAAGCTATGAGAATACTTTTTGTGTGCAAAGAAAAAAATACCTACTTTATTCATCAATTCGTCTCTCCTCTTCACCCGATAATGGTTTGATCTGGACGTAAACGATGTATGTGTTCTGTTTCAGCAGCATGCGCATATGTCATGGTGCTGAAAGATCTATAATTATTTTATTGAAGAACTGAAAATACACTTTTGTCCAGCATGAACCGAAGTAATTAATTTATTATATGCTAGCTATTTTTTGAATGCATGGAATAATAGGCTCAGATCATCATGCAATTAGTAAAACAGAAGGCGTACCATTATTAAACTGAAGGGGTGGTCCTAAGATCCACCCTTCATGTTTTATTACACTTTTTGGCTCATTAATGAGTCAAAAACTAATTGGCACAATGGTTTTTATCAAAAATCTACAACAATTGCTCATTTTACATCTTTAATCATTAACTGCTGTAACAAGCAATGTGCATCTTTAATAGAACGGCGACAGTTATGGCTGTACCATAAATGCATTATCAGTGCCAATTTGGCTATTGAAGATGTGTAGAGTGTAAAAAAAAAAAAAATCTTCATTTCTAATTCAATCTCAGCTGACTGAACACTGGAAGTACCCCAAATGATCACAGTAACACACATTTATTTATTTATTTTTATTTGTGTATTTATTATATTTATGACCAGTATCTGTAAAAGGTTTGAAACCGTATCATAATGTATAAACAACATTCACTTTGTAGTAAACCCCATGTTATTTTAAAGGGTGCATGAACAGTGTATTATCTTGTCATGATGATGGCTGTATATTCCTTTGTGTTCGTAATTCCTATGTTTGTAGGAACAGAAGAAACTTCGTGGGAAAGCACCACGAGGCATCGTTCACTTGCAGAACGCAAGCTTCTGGAGGGCGCATAAGTTTGAACTAGCGAGTTTAGGTATATTGGTGTCTGACAGATATACAGATAGATAGATAAAACCGTTAAACCAGTGTTATTCAACAGCTATTCTGGACAAAATATTACAGACATTAAACTTAACGCTATACAAAAATTTCTTGTGTTGGTCAACATGAGAAAATTTGTGGAGAGATGAATAGATAAATAGATGTATTTTCATAGTTTTTGAGTGTTTACTTATTGCATTATTTTTATTGAATTTTCTTTAATTTTCATTAATGGTCATTGCAGGTGATGTTCCTTCCATAACGGGCTTGTCAGCAGGCCCATTATGAAACATACATAACTTTAACACGTTCAAAATAATGCATAAAGACATTATATTTAGTATTACACTGAACAGACTTTTGAGTGCATTCTAGTAATCCTGCTGATTATGGTTGGTATTACCATTTTTTCTCTGTCAAATTGTTCCTCCTCTGTTGTACTCCATGCAAAATATATGGTAATAAAAACAAAATAGATATAGAAATCGAAAATGTATGTACATGCCAATATATGTAAAAAAAAAAAGTTCAATTTCGGATCTTTATAGCCAACTTTAAAATCCAGGCCGAAAATCCAGACGCCTTTTACAGGTCCGAGACAAATTCGCACGTATGGTCAAATTATGTATAATAATCCAATTGCATTTGGATTATGTCACAATTTATGCATCCAAATATGGAAAACGCAATTGCAATTGCTTTGGAAAATTGTCCGGAATATACTTCCATAACAATAACAAGCTACTTACTTTTGTAGAAGAAATTTGCTGACATGTCCGACATTTTTTTCCCCCAACTGAGACCATTCAGAAAATACACTGAACAAAATTATAAACGCAACACTTTTGTTTTTGCCCCCATTTGTCATGAGCTGAACTCAAAGATCTAAGACTTTTTCTATGTACACAAAAAGCCTATTTCTCTGAAATATTGTTCACAAATCTGTCTAAATCTGTGTTAGTGAGCACTTCTCCTTTGCCGAGATAATCCATCCATCTCACAGGTGTAGCATATGAAGATCCTGATTGCACAGGTGTGCCTTAGGCTGGCCACAATAAAAGGCCACTCTAAAATGTGCAGTTTTATCACACAGCACAATGCCACAGATGTTGCAAGTTTTGAGGGAGCGTGCAATTGACAGACTGACTGCAGGAATATCCACCAGAGCTGTTGCCCGTGAATTGAATGAGTTCAGCTCATGAAAAATGGGGGCAAAAACAAAAGTGTTGCATTTATAATTTTGTTCAGCGTACTAGTGCAGTAATTCCAAATGAATGCCCAAAAGATAAAATAAATTATCTGTCTTATTTGTTGGTTAGAGCCTTGGTTAGAGCCCATATAAAGAGACTGGAGAAACAGTAAGTGTAATATGCTAACATGCTGTTTCAAACTCAGCCTCTTTCAGGAGCTGAAAGAGTTTCCTCTGTGTTAAGAGTGTCGTGTGCAAAACACGTTTGTCTCCAAGTCTGTAAAGTCACAGATAATGAAACGTCCGCTAGATGTCAGACACCCTCCACCCAAACACCCTCAGAAACTGCTGTAATACTAATACATCTGTACTGTGAGACTGAAAACTAAGTCCAGATTTACAGTTCATTCCCCATAAAAGTTTCACTTTGTGTATTATGAAATATTTAGTAATTTCAATACTGATTAAGTAACATTTCACAATATAATCATTACAGATAGTTTCTGTTCCA